ACAGAATTTGGTGGAATCAAATACATAAAACATGGTCCTATCTAATGGGTTACGTGTAAGGCTAGGCAAAACAACTAAGTCTGAAGCAACTTAGTGGTTGCTGCTTCACGTATGGCAGATGGGAGGGCATTCCCTAATATAAGGGAAATTTTTACTTGTGAATGAGACAGTGGGTCACAGCACAGCCCTAATCTTCCAAGACCTGAGATAAAGGTCTCTTTTGTAAGTTAGAGTCAAATAGCTAGGGTGGTTCTTTCCTTCTAGATGTCTGCTGTTTCTGTTTCCTGTAACTTTTTTTATTTTTCAGAGTGGTTAAAACAAAAACACACCTTTTTATTATTTATAAAGTTTTTATATATCTTATTTAGTTTGGCATGTTTGGCATGTTCATGTTCTTATTACTGCCATTTTACAGATGGGAGTAACAGAGGCTGGGAAGTAGCTACTTCACCCTGGGTCTAGTCTGATCTAGAATAAGAATCTCGCCTCCTGTTTCTCCCGCCTGACTTCCACTCATTTCTCTTCCTCTCGGTTTTTCCGACATTTTGCCTATCTGTCAATAGTGCATTGACAGAAACCCTCAACAAGGCTTGAACTCCTTTGGGGTGGAATAGTTTGCAGCATGCCTGGGCATAACAGACAGAATAATAGTTTCCTGCCATTGGCTTATTTCTTTATTAAAGAGAGAGGACTTATTTCAATATCTGAGCAATCCACTTCACTCGCATGCGTATGCACAGAGACATAAAGGCAATTCATCAGGATTTCTTTAAAATCAGTGGCGTTTCGAAGGGTCTTTTTAACTTACTTTTTATTCCTTACTGATAATGCAGCATTGCCATACAGCACCAGCACACGGCGGGGCATGTTTTAGTGGTTCATTAATACCCGTCGTGGATGTGCAGCCGCACACATTCAGCCGCCTGAGGTGTATATTAATGGACCATTAAAACATGCCCAGGAGTGTCTTAAAGCTGTTACAATATGTCTCTGCAATTTTAAATTCAATTTTTTTTGTGTGTGTATTTTTTCTAAGGAAAAAAAAACTTTGCAGAACCCTTGGTTTCTCTTCCTTGTTTCATTTCGTTCAACAGCAATGAATGACAATGAACCAGAGGTTTCAGACGCTTAACACACTATTCTGAATGTGCTTTTCCCCCCAATTAGATGTGCCTAGTCTCAAGGGGTTTTCACAACACTCGTGAAATACACTTCTTTAAAATATAAGCTACTGGAACCATGTGACTTTTTGAGACTTAGGGCCACTTTAGGTTCTATGTGTTGTTGACCAATGCATGTGCACTGCCCAAAATGCATACATGCAGCAGAGATCCTCAACTATGGCTGATACTATGGCTTCATCTGTAGGATACACATTTGTAGGATACATGCAACCAGAAACATGTACCGTATTTGTTTCAAGAACATGATACACACTTGTGTATGCATAGCCCTAACTTGCCATCAGACCAGTCAACTAGTTCACAGGGAGAGGGCACTCAACCAAGCCTCCATTCTGAACACCTGATTTGCACAGATGCTGGTTAATTTTCAGGGTTACAAATGGTCAGCCCTGTTCCTGGATCAGGCTGGGGAACAGCACACTCTGATAAAACGGGATGCTGCAAAGGAGTTTCACATGGATGCAGTCAGAAAAGTGAGAAAAAGAGTACAATAGCCATGAAATAACAAATCAACTGGCCAGCTTAATGCTAAAACAACAGTATGTGGTTTTACAGTATAGTGGTGGCTTGTGGGGCATCATGACATGGTGCTTGGCTACCCCTGTGGAGTGGTGGCTGAGGATTAGCTACATCAGTGCCATCAGGGCATGTGATTGTTAAAGGGCCAGTGGTGTCCAGTGCACCACAGGCAGATGATGTCATCAACTGTGCTGAGTACTGCTGACCTCTCAATAGTTATGTGGCTGAACAGTGCAGCCGTAGTGCTCGCTCCCTTTTTGGGGCTTCCAATAATTTCTAGGAATGTCCACCTGTAAGGATGCTGTGCCCCTTTCCCCCTCAGACTGCATTCAGCAGCAAGACTGTATTCTGACACACACACCTGTTCTGTGAGCCACCACTGTTTTGCCACTTTTTATTACAGCACATTATCCAGTGGGGCTTTATTTATGGCACAGTCAATAACTAAAGCTTATCGTAATGCTTGTAAAGAATTATTAAGTAAATCCAACCAACAAATCAGACAATGGTTTGGGACAACCGAAACTCTGCCCTTGGCTGCCCTGAGGTTTATATGCTATCTTATCTTTGTATGAAAGGAGAACAAAAACACTATAAAGGCAGTAATACTGGCTTTAAGCTTTTGGTGGATTTCCTGCACCAGGAGAAAATCTTCAGTAGTTCCATTTAAGCCTTCTTAACACAGAGCACTCCAGTGTGACTTATGAGCGCCAAGAGCTCTTCCTTGTGGTCCATGGCCACGTTATAATTAAGCAATGAGATACGCAGTGGATCTCTTAGTGGTGTGTTAAAGCCCGTGGCCAAGGGATGAAAGGAGGAGGAGTTCTGCTGTCTAAAAAAAGCAACTGTGGAAGTCAGAGTTTATTTCATAAAATTTATACACCGCTTGATTGTAAAAAGCCTAAGTGTGGGAGTGTGTTTATATATATAATGAATGAGAGAATGATGGAGCAGGGATGGAGGAAAATAAAGGATTGGGCATATATTGGCCATTACTGTCCACCCATAATTATAATAATCAGGAACTAATGGAATCATTCGCAAATGTTTATTCAACACATTGCGGGGGGGGGGGGATGATGTGCTAAAGTACTTTATAGAGCTAAGCATTATTTTTAGTATTAATGATAAATACGGGTATGACATCTGTCAGCAAGCTCTAATTATCTCTAAAGCTATTTCAGAAAATGATTGCGTTGTATTTTTTATTTTTTAAAGAACTTAAGGAAAAAAAGTGTACTACTGTAAACGGCTCATGTTTTGTGGTGGGGGAGGAGGATAATTCCCCTGCCGGCATCTGCTAGAATCTGCTAATCAGGACTGTTGGTTTGGAAAACTACGAAAACCCGCGGACTCGCACAAATTGATTAATATCTTTGTTCTGTTTCTGTTAAGTATTGCATTCCCTCCTGGTTCCCACATTGCCTCACCAGCTCATTCTCTTTCCCCCTTCTTATTTTCCTTGCTACATTCCTTATATTCTCAAACTTCTCTTGAAACCAGTTTTGGATGATGTTGCTAAAAAAGGAAAGCTCTGTAGATCAGCAGCAGAGTCCCCTGCCCAAGGCATTTTGCTCTCTACCCAAGGCAGAGCAGCAGTAAATGGAAGTCCATCCCCTCACTGAGTCAAGGTGCATAATATCCCAAAGTGAGCCAAATTAGTTTGACACCTGAGACAGAAAAATCACATAAGCACCTCTTCTTCTCTTTGGCAGTAAAAATACAATAAGAACAAATTAAATAACTGTTTGCTGCCATTTTGTGACACCCCAAAGCTGCTGGCTGAGGCAGATGCCTCACTCTACCAAATGGTAGGAATGGCCCGGCCCAGAGTCCATCTATTCAACACCCTGGTTTCCCCAGTAGTCAACCTGAAAGTTCCAAAAAGCCACTAAGCAGGACTTGAACAACTGGTATTTCCTGGGTACTTCCAGACAACCTGTTTACTGAGCATTCACACAGGTAATTTAATGAGCAGCCACTCCAATTTGTTTGCGGGGAAGCAAGACAACATGTACAGTATCAAAGCAAGTGTTACGCCACACTTCCCACTGCATTTTCCCATTGCTTTCATTATCACAAAAAGTCCAGTCTTTTGGGAAAGCAGGTTTGTTTCTCCATTGATAATTTTGAATACAGGTGTGTTTTCATTGCTCAGTCTCACTGCTGCGTCCCCGCCCCCTAGTAAACCACAATTGTGGGGATGGGAGGTCAGAGAAGTACCCCTCTCCTGCCCCACCTTGCCAACTGCTACACCCTTTGTTCAACATTTTTTGACCCCTGTTCATTCCTTCTATCACATTTCCATCTAGATTTGAGTAAATACCCGGTATCACTAGGATATACTTCCACACAGATTTTTCATATCACCTCACTACATTTTGGAGTTCCAGTCCTCCAAATAAAAAACGTTAGCATCAGCAAACTATAGCAGTGTAATCTATTCAGAAAAAGTTTTGCATTCAATGGTGCTTACTCCATATAACTGTTTATAGGACTATAGCCCTCACCTACCATAATCTGACAGACAACCGCCTACCTTACAAACCGTTTCAAGTGTTAAAAACAGCACAGATGACCCTCTTGGTAATTTCACCACCCTCAGAAGTTGGGTGAAGCAGTCCGAGAGAAGGTGTTCTCTGCAGCAGCTCCTAGGTTGCAGAATTACCTCTCCTAAAAGATATGTCTGTCACCTTCATTATATACTTTCTGTTGTACTATAACTAACTATACCTCTGTACCCTTGCTTTCAAAGCTAAGATATGTGTTTTCACGGCTGACCTGACTGTGACTAAATTGCTTTAACTATTTTTAATATTAAGTTTTAAATTGTTGTAACCTGCCCTGGGACCTAATATTGAAGAGAGAGCAATACATTGAGTTAACAACAACAATAATCCTAGTTTTGGTTATCAGATTTACTGAGCTAGAAATTTGATCCATCTATGTGTGTCTGTCTGTCTTTTTGTGTGTGCAGATATATTACATTTCTTGAGTCTTTGGTGGGCATGGCTTTGTACTACTGAAACTAATAATTTATATGTGGCAATACATCAGCTTTAGTAATTCTCATCTATAACATTTTATTGTACCAGTTAGAGCAAGGCCCATAAGACAGGGATTATCAACAATAAGAAAAGAACGACATTCCTGCATTCCCGTTAAAGTCACGTTTCTCTGGGAGTACTCTACAAGACAGCAGAGGCAGGCAGAACGGAGAACTTTGAGTAATCATGGGTTGTAATCTAACATGGGCTGCTTTGTAACAATGGTTAACTAACCTAACGATCCTTTCAGGTGGCTACAACCTACACAGGCACTGCCATGTTTGCAATGGAAATTAACAAAGACTAAAGCAAGATGTGGAAAGAGATACAAGCCAAAGTGGAAACAAGCATGAATGCTGACTGCCATCTGGCACAGATGTCATTTACTGCTGTTCATGATTCAGGCATTGGTAAGATTTATTTGAGATAGTTAACTTGACGTATATTCTTATGAAAAGATAAGTAATAAAGATAAACATTCTTAAGGTGTTATAGTGGTTGCACTACATGGCTGGTCTTTGTTTTTACTATAGGTTCAAACCCTAGTTGTTATATTATTGAATAATAATAATAACAATAATAATAATAATTTATTATTTATACCCCGCCCATCTGGCTGGGTTTCCCCAGCCACTCTGGCGGCTTCCAACAAAATATTAAAATACAATAGTCCGTCAAACATTAAAAGCTTCCCTAAACAGGGCTGCCTTCAAATGTCTTCTACAAGTCTTGTAGTTGTTCTTCTCTTTGACATCTGGTGGGATGTCACTACTGCCTGGTTCCCTGTAACATGGCTTCTCACAGTGAGGGAACTGCCAGAAAACCCTTGGTGCTGGACCTCAGTGTCCAGGCTGAATAATTATGAAGAGATTAGATCTGGTAGTCATGGGCTTGACTGTATTTGTTTCTTTCTTGTACTTATATCCTGTTCTTCAGAGAACCACAAGTTGCTTATGGAGGACTCCGAGGCATCTTCCATACCCTCTGAACTTCAGCTATACTAGAGAACCCTGTCTTCCCTGGGCTTAAACCAAACTGTGGGCATCTGCAAAGGCTACAGAATGCAAACCATGGTTAAAATTATTTGTAGAATGGAAGCACGGATACTCACTTCTATTTTCAATTACCGGTAACTGCACTATGTTGTTTTGTCCAAACTGGGAATTGCAATGTTTTATGCATAGTGTCAGAAACCACAGTTGTTACTGGCCTTAAAATATATATATAATCTATCCCATGTTTGTCCCACTTTGGATGCCACAATAAACTGTGGTTAGCTGAAAATTTAAATGAATACTTCCAATTTCCTCACAGCAGAAGGAAGTGGAAAGCGCATAAGCCCAAGGCTCATTCTCATAGTATTAAAATATGTTTTAGTGTTACATCCAAATCCAGCCAAGGCCAGACAGTACTTGATGGATAATGAGGCATATTAAACCACAGTGAATTTAGGTTGTAGTTTTAGAGCAACACAGGGAAATCTAAAGAATGCTTTCCTTGTTGTGCTTTATAATAGTTAGCACTTGGATAGTTTAGACTGAATGTTCTCTGTGCAGCTATTCCTTTATAATGGCACACAAATGTACCCTTGTTAAGAGGGACAATGTGGTAACCTGCTTATTTTGTTCATATGCAAGACAATTTGAATTTCAAACATGCAAGACACCCTGGCTGGATGACAAAATATATTCATCTTATTAAAACCTGATTAATTTCCAACCTCAACCTTCTAAAAACTTACATAATCTGATCCTGTGGCGGAAATCTTTTTGGTACACACACACACACACACACACACACACACACACACACAAAAATGGGGCAGGTATTTTAAATAGTCCAGCGGATTTGGAGCAGACAGACACACATGCAAAGAAAAGGGAAAGAATGAGACTATATTGATCTAAAAATAAATAAATACCAGAAAATTATTCTGTAAGCAAGGCTAGTGGCATACAAATGAGATAATGGTGTAAACCAGAAGCAGGAAAAAGGCATACAATCTGAAGGAAATGCAGTTGCCACACCAGTTATAAAGCCTTTTTTAAACATGGTTGCTTCTAAAATTATACTGTTAGCATTAACTACTTTGCTAAATGTAATTTCAGAGCAGCTTGGCTATGCTGGGACCAATAATGTTTCAGCAGATGTTAACAGTGAGGGAATTTAAAGATTACAGGGTTTCATGGGTGTAGTAAAGCTGCAGTGGGAACAGAAATATTGCCGTAGCTGTTAAGTTCTGAGTGCACCACATTTACTGACAAGTAATACATGAGTGATAGTGAGGACCAAGGGAACAGAACTTTATACTTACTGGTCAGCAGCATATAAATTCCATAAATTAAACAAAGTTTTATGCATTTTTCATTTCTTTTCAGAGCGATCCTCTCTAAGGACCTTGGCTTCACATTTATTCCGACCACAAAGCGTATCTCTGATATAGTGTGGGGCTTCCCCCTGCCAAAAAAAGGTATATCCCCAAATATATGACTCCATTCTCCTTTCTCTATATATTATCCTGCTCCTGCTCCCTTCATATAGCTTTTATGAAGACCCATTTTATAGCAGTGAATTCTAGCATGCAATAAAGTCATAAAGGCTGATATTTCAACAGTGTAATAACTGCAATTATTTCAGTTCCTGTATTTTTCAGTGGAGTCAGAAATGCTGCTTTAGCAAACACATGCACAAAAACACAGATTTGAAGAAGTTGCAGGACATTATCACAAGCGACACATAGGGCATTTGATGGGGGATATTTCTGATTTCACACGACTACGACACACCAACAGAATGTTCTAACAGGGGTCCATTCTTCCAGTTCAATGCTGGAAATGGAGGATAGTTTTCAGGGTTATTTGTACTGATCCCACTCAAGTCTCATCCTTTCCGTGTGCCAGTTTTATACATCCTAACAGCTGGTTAGCAAGGAAGTTTGTGAACCTGCTTCTGCATGTACAAAAGTCTCCAACTGACTATTACAGCTACCAATAGGTGCTACAGCTAGCCAGTAGGCCCCATACTGAGCCTCTCAATAGCACTGCCCTTGCCAACACCCATCATCTAAGGAGGGTGGCACAATCTCAACCTCTTAAGTATGGGGCTTCAAGCAGCAGAGAAGAGAAACAAGAGCACTGTAGCAAAGACGCAGAAGACTTCAGCTGGCTGTAGTAAGTAGTAACAGCTGGCTGAAGGCTACCCTACACCAAGGAAATGGTTCAAATGAGTTTCCCGTGCGAACTGGTCCTAAGCTACAATTTTAATATCTGTCACCACTCCTTCCAATAGCAAATGCAGGTACTGAGTGCCAACAGCATTGGAGCCAACATGGGGCTGTTGAGAAACAAGATGGAGGTATCAGTGTTGTAATGGGAATTGGGGTTGCTTGTGCGTAAATTCCAAACTGCTCCAAGCTGGTTGTATAGCTAAACCTTTCCCTGGTTTGACAGCCCTTACAACGCGACTGTCTCAGTCACTGGCAGAATCCGTCAGTGGGCGTTTCCTAAACTTCTTCCAACATAAGAATTCCTTGACTCCAAGTCTCCTCCTAGATTCTCTGCGCGGAAGCTTTCTGCGCAGCGTGGGCATGCCAAGCGGAGGTCCTGTGCTCTCCCCGCTGATCTCACTGGAAGAGTCTCGGAGCCTTCCCTCCGAAGTACTCTCAGCCTCCCCTTTCTTCCTGGTGTCACCTTGATTCCCTTCCCCAGCGGAAGCTCTCTCTCTCTCCTTGCTAGTTCCCTCCCCTGCCTCATTGGGGAGCCTTACCTGTCCTCTTGTCTCTGATGGCAGTTCCCTGATAAGTGTGTTTCAGGGAACCCCAAGTTTTACAGAAGTACAAAAACCTTTTAAAAGTCTTAAGGGATGAAATCTTCAAAGAAGACATCAAGAGAGAATTTACTTACAGTTTCCAAATTCCAAAAGGATATTATAGTCAACAATTCTAAACTATTAAAGAAGGTGTATAATATACTGTTGGAATGGGAAACTAAAGATGAAGTTAAATCAGTAATGATTAAGTGGGCACAGGACATAGGTCATAATATACAATTTGAGGATTGCATAAGGTTGTGGAAAGTGAATTTGAAATTCACGGATTGCATATTGTTGAAAGAGAATTATATGAAAATTATGTATAGGTGGTATACCACATCAGTAAAATTGGCAAAATTGTATAAAACCGAACAAAAGAACTGTTGGAGATGTAAAGAAGGGGAAGGTACATTTCACCATATGTGGTGGAATTGCAAGATTATTATTTTTTAAATGGGAAATGATATACAATGAATTGAGAAAAATGTTTAAAATAACATTTGTTAAAAAAAACCAGAAGCTTTTCTGTTGGGTATTTTGGGACAAGAGCTGCCGAAAGAAAAACAGACATTATTTATGTATGCTACAACAGCAGCAAGAATCTTAATAGCACAAAACTGGAAGACCAAAGAACATCCAAAGAACAATGGTAAGAAAAGTTGGTGAACTGTGCAGAGTTAGCAAAATTAATGGACAAGTTGCATGAAAGGTGTGGAGAGGGTAACAACGTTCAGATTTTTGGGCAAGAGGATCTGTCCTGGAGTGTCAACACAAGGAGGCTTCTGATGAAGACGCAGCAGAGACTGTACTTTTTGAGAATTCTAAGGAAAAACCATCTTCCGCAGAAACTGCTGCTTGCCTTCTGTAATGGGAATTGGGGTTGCTTGTGTGTAAACCACCAACTGCTCCAAGCTGCTTGGGGTGGTTGCGCCTTTCCCCTGGCTGAGCAGCCCTTAGGCGCGGCTGCTTCAGTCGCTGGCAGAATCCGTCAGTGGCCGTTTTCTAAACTTCTTCCAACATAAAAATTCCTTGACACCCAGTCTCCGCCTAGATTCTCTGCGCGGAAGCCTTCTGCGCAGTGTGGGCGTGCCAAGCGGGGGTCCGGTGCTCTCCCCGCTGATCTCACTTGAAGAGTCTCGGAGCCCTCCCTCCGAAGAGCTCTCAGCCTCCCCTTTCTTCCTGGTGTCTCCTTGATTGCCTTCCCCAGCGGAAGCTCTCTCCTTGCTAGTCCCCTCCCCTGCATCATTGGGGCGACCTCCCTCCCTCTCCTCTGGTCTCTGATGGCAGTTCCCTGACACCTTCTATCACTGTGCCATTGAGAGCGTGCTCACTTATGGCTTATGTGTGTGGTACGGAAGCTGTACTACCCAGGACAGGATGGGGTTGTGCAGAGTTGTTAAGGCAGCAGAGAGCATTGTTGGCTGCCCACTCTCCACCTTAGAGCAGATTTATGCCACAAGGTGCCATAGGAAGGCACTGGACATAGTAAAAGATCCATCGCATCCTGGCCACTGTCTCTTCGAGCATCTGCCGTCGGGATGGAGATACAGGACGATGAAGACAAGAATGAGCCGTCTTAAGAACAGCTTCTTCTCCAGAGTGATCTCGGCCCTGAATGGGAAGCCTGGACTTTGGAAGTCATCTAATCTTCCTTGCTGTACTATACTGTACTGTTTTAATTAGTGTTTTTATGGAGCAGTCAAGTAATTTCGTTGTCCCCGAGAGCGGGCAATGAAAATAAAGATATTATTATTATTATTATTATTATTAAAGGGACAATAGTAACTTTGAAAAAGAATGGGAACCCTTTACAACATATTTGCAGAAACAAAAAACAAAAAAAATGGACTCACTGGCAGGATTTAAATACTGTAAACATTTACAATTTTATTTACAGAGAACAAGAAATATAAAAATGGGAAAACATAGTATCAGATATAAGCAGTAGATTGTACCATTTGATGTAACAAACCAGAAATGGAAGTTGAGGGAAGTTAACACGGGGGGGGGGGGGGACTTGGATATTTGTTGCAAGAAAGAAAATCAATAAAAACTATTTAAAACAACAACAACAAAAATAAATTAATAATAATAATAATAAAAGTCTTAAGGGAACTACCCCCACCCCTGCAAGCCTACACACAGCCGAAGGAAGACTGAACATGCTTGGTAGCCACAGAACATTGAGAATCACTTGGAAAAGAAAACTGGAACACTAGAAGGAGGGTGGATAGAATGGGGCACCTTAGAGGAAGGCTTGGCCGTTGACTGGCTGGCAGCGAGAATACACTGCATTGTTTTGTTGCCAGTCCCACATGTCTTCTAAAAATAAACAGCCTTGGTGAACCTGCTGTAAACAAAATTACTTTTTCAAGGGAATTAGGGCCATATAACTTTGCTTTCTGACCAAGCCATTAAATCAGTTGTCAGGAAATTTCATAATAAGTCGGTTTGTGGTCAGATTTCATTGACTTCACTGTTGTTCCCATAACACAAGAACAAGTGACTTCATTCAACAAAGCAACACCCCAGGGGAGTGAATTTGATTATCAAGGTTAATAAATTCTGCGGCACAATAAGCCCAGAAATCGTTCTGCAGTCAGAGGCCAAGAATAATGCTGCAGCCCTGATTTAGGGTGAAAACTCTGCTGCTACACAGTTTTCATTCATTTTGGCAAAGCTTATTTGTGCCACTTGTAAAAAGCCTTATTGGAAAGAATGTGAAAGTTGCATAGCAGAAACACTTGTAAATTTTGTACCTCTTGATTCAACATACATCCCGCAAAAAAAGAAAGAAAGAAGGATTAGGCTTGATTCATATGTCCAGCTGCATAGTGGGTGACAACTGGAAACAAGAATGCTGAAAAGCAGATCTTTGGGAGGAGTCCTGAGAATTTCAAGTCCCAGCAAGACAAACTATGGAAAAGCAGAGTGTTAGCCTTTTACTTTTTTATTTGCATCATATACCACTTTTTCCCCTACCAAAAAATGTTATCAAAGCAGCCAACAGTTTAAAACACACTTAATCTGTCAAACAACATGGGGCCATAGTTAACCTATGGAATTCACTGCCACAAGATGTGGCGATGGTCACCAACTTTAAAAGGAGATTGAACCAAGACTGGATAGGCCTATTCATTGGTACTAGTCATGGTAGCTACTGTATATGCTACCTCCAAGACCTATGGCACTATGCATCTAAATACAGTGGTACCTCGGGTTACAGACGCTTCAGGTTACAAACTCTGCCAACCCAGAAATAGTACCTCGGGTAAGAACTTTGCTTCAGGATGAGAACAGAAATCGTGCGGCGGTAGCGGGAGGCTCCATTAGCTAAAGTGGTACCTCAGGTTAAGAACAGTTTCAGGTTAAGAACGGACCTCCGGAACGAATTAAGTTCTTAACCTGAGGTATTCATTGTGTCAGAGTAGCTGTGGGAGGATTCCTGCTCTCATGTTTAGTTTGTGGACATCAGGTTGGCTATAAAGGGGAACAGGATACTAGGCTAGACAGGTCATTGGTCTGATCCAGCAGGGCAATTATTACGTTTTTATGGGCCCCATCATCCATAGCACAAATAGCTGCCATAGCAGGGTGGCTCCTGACACTTATAAACCAGGCCTTAAAATCATTCCCTCTAACAGCAAAGCAGTCACACTCGAGAACAAAGCAGTCATGCAAAATAATCAGCCCCATGTCTCTACTCACCTGATAACTTATAATAAAAGTAATTTTTCATATCTACATGACCTGTCTATCTTTGTGCTTTTGCAAATGGTATTTGGTAGGGAGTCTCAAGCTTAGTGGTAGAGCATCTGCTTTGCCTGCAAAAAGGCCTCAGGTTCAATCTCCAGCACCTCCAGGTAGGGCTGTGAACATCCTCTCTCTGAAACCCTGGATATCTGTTGCCAATATTGACAATATTGAGCTAGAGATGGAGCAGTGGCCTGACTTGCTATGTGGTTTCCTATGTTCCTAAGTGACACCTTTTTGGGTGGTGCTGACTTTATGACAAAGCACGTCTCCAAAAATTATGCTGACGTGCTCACATTCAATGTAAACACTCAGCTAGCAAAAAGAAAACAGCAAAACGGATAAGTTAGCATTGCCCTGTATGTGGTAATAAGAACACAAAAATAAGAGCTCACTTATATTCTTTACACTGCCCCAGACCTTTAACCATATCACATCAGATGTCTTTATGAAAGAAAACAATACAGTAAATAAGAAAACATCACCCGCATGATGCTGATTAAGAACGGAGGCACCCCATACAGCAAGCTACATGGTGGAATCTTTTTTATTTTGATGGCACTGTTTCACTGTCTATCATAAACTTAGCGAAGCAGGCTTTCTCTATCCAGCTCTCCTTTTATTGGGCATAAATCACTCCTGACAGGAAGTTTTATGCCTAAATCCGTTTACTGTCCTTGTTGGTAGTCTTTAAATTAATATTTATAAGCTGAGAGAGACCTAAAAGGATGCAGCACTAAAATACCTAAATGCTTCAGTTTGGCTTGAACTGATTTTCGCCCTTCTTGACCACTGACATTCCTTAATTACCAGTGACCCAGGCACACATTGTCTCTGCTCTCTCAAGCTCACAAATCACTGCCTTTGATGGTATTGTGCCTGACAAAAGGGGCGGATCAAGCAGAATCTGTTTGCCTGATATATTGGACAAACAGGCAGAGGTTCAAGGGAAAAAGGAGATACAAAAGGAAATCACCTAGATTATAAAAGAAGCAACTAAAACAGTGGATCAATTTGTCTTGGGTATGGAAAGTGATCCACACTGGAAGATCAGAACATATTACATTTGTAAAATAACAGCAAGTTTCAGGCCACACTCCATCTTGATCAGCTGTATAAGCATAACTGGTTGGTTAGCATCTTAAAATGTATTTTAGTCAGACACTTCCTTCAAGAGGTTAGGATAGCATACATAGTTATTCCCTCTCCATCTCAGAAAACCTGGGAAGAATCACATTTATGTGACTCTTATGATCAGAAGCAGCCCAATACATTTTTCAGCCAGAGACAGAATAGAAAATGTCACCCTTCTCCCCAAATCAGGGTGCAGAATACCCCACAGAAAATCACATAGGTGCTTACTGGTGCCTACTGCAATAACAAGGATAATTAATCAACAAACTTGCCCTTTCTTGACATCCAAAATCAGCCACCTCACTATTCCCAATGGTAGGGCCGGCCCTTCTTAAGATGTGCTGTTATTCTGTGTTGCATACCTCAAGTCGCAGTGCTGCTGCTATGCAGCTTCAATCTATCCTAATACTGTGAATTCAAAACATTATTTCCCCTGTGTTTATCACCACTGTAAGGACATTTCTGTGCCCTGCACATAGGGTGAATAATATTTCCACCAGCCCACAAACTGTGATCATTAATATCTCTCTTTTAATCTTTGCAGATAGGATATTCTCATTACTCATAGGCTCATTATGTGTCCTGTGTGACATCCATGGAGCCATAGATCAGCATATCAGCAGTCCTCACATTATCTGAGCATTTTGCACGTTGCCCAAGCTGCTTAGATAACTATAGTTGGACTTGTGTCACTTGGATAAACACCCCAAATCAAATTCATATCATGTAAATACACAGAATTGATCAAATCCAAAGTTCACTCTAAATATTTGTTTCAGCATTAATTGTGTTAAATAAAACTGTTCCTTAAAGATGAATGAATTGGTTTATCATATTCAGGCTTATGTTGGTAGCTTCTCCACATTAACATTATTTCTCACTTTCAAAAAAAATTCTACAATATTTGCTCAAAGCAATTTTTTCTTTTATTAAAAAAAGAGCCCTGAGCCTGGTGTTTAAAAAGAGCTCCAGTGCACTTGCGCTTTTCTGTACTACAGAAATGAGATGTTTTGGATTCCCCCGCCCCCAATACAGGTTTCTATATCACATTCAAAACAGAATAAAAAATAGCTTCTTTCCTGCCCTCTGCTCCTACCAATAGTTCTCATTTGAAGATGTTACTTTCATGAAGTAACTTTACTTACAGCAACATGAAAGAGCACGTTTGGAAATATAAGAAATGCTAGTAGAAATCACAAAATATGCTTTCCACAAAATTAAAAATGGCGATGCTCAGAACACCCCATGCCAAACACCTCTCCAAAACAAATAACCAGGCAAAAAAGGAGACACCCTCCCCATGCCCCATAATAAACAGGCACTTTTTGGGGGTCCCCAATATGACATCCCTCTAAGGGAACTTTTGTAGCACCTAGAAGGATGTCATATTGGGGACCCCAGTTGAAGAACTTCACAAATTATTAAATTCCATATTGTGGAATATTCCACTATCGATGGCTAGTCTTATTGGTGCAGGAAAAAATATATAAAGGAGAATTCCTGGATGCCAAGATCAAAGCTTGGGGCAAGTACTCCTTGGTGAGAGAAACCCAGCAGAGATTTAAATTCATAAAATATACAGCAAAGGAAAGCATGGAGATACAGACCATTAGACCTTTAAAATAAGTCCCTTTAAGTAAGTTCAAAAATGTCCCCTTTAAAAAGGTTTCTTCCCAAAGTTTCCCTTTTCCCCCAGCACAAGAAAAGAACACACTTTTGGTTAAGTTAAAAAAATGGTTTGCTTACAAACCCTTCAAAGGTCAGGTTCAAGTGCTTCACAGAAGTTGCACAGGCAATAAAACTTAGGTTAGTTATAAAGTGGTAAAAGTTCCTAGATTGTTGGTATAGGAACCAAAGAGAGGTTAGATGGAGCACCTCAGAGCTCCTCAGACACAGAAGTTCACATGTAGACTGTGGGTTGGAACAATAGGCTCAAAAACCTAGGTGAGGGGAAGTGGACATAGCCTGGCAGGACTGCTTAAGATATGGTCAAAAACTCACCACACATTAGACTTCTGGCACTGGCAGTTTTTACTGCGTCCTCATTTGGCTGCCCTCAAAATTTCAGGGCCGTCAAGGGTAGGCGTTTCTGGTGAGCCCCACGTTCCTGCAAGGGGCCTACTCTCAAAGCCTTGAGGCCTACTGCTGCTCTTCCTTGCTGTCATGGGTGGCTCACTTGCCTTCTCTGAGCCTTAGAGACTAAGCTGCTTCCTTCACACCTCTTGCACTTGTTTCTGGACACCTTGGGCCTACAGGGAGAGGGCAGGAAAATGGGTGGTGGGAACATTTGTTTGTAGTTTTTAGCTACTTCAGAAGTTCATTTGTCTTGGAAGATCTAAGAGTTATAGCGTACCCATTCAGGGATTCTCAACTGCTGCCTCCCAAAACGCTGGAGCCGAACAACATCTCACCCTATTGTGGCACCGAGTTCAGAGTTGAGAGAGTTTCTGACACCATGGCTCAGGACCACAATATCTCAAGGACCACCTCTCTCCATATGAAGCTACCTGGACCCTGAAATCAGGTAGGATCTGATACAAATGTAGTGCTCAAATCCAAATTGTCTTTCCTGTTGTTGTTTTTTAAAAAAATAACCCACCCTCCCTAAACCTTCATTTATTTTCCATTTCCTCATCTTCAGGCCCATCACAGCAATTAACTCTCCCCTCTGGCTAAACTCAAAGGAATGCAATTCTTTCTTAACATGTTTTGAAGTAAATCAATATTGGTCCCAGAAACATGGGGCAACTATACAGAGTGTCAAGACACACTTCTTTCTACCCAGGGGGGTGGGGAAGTACAGTATTTGCTGCCATCGGAAGAGCCCCATATAGTGATCGATTGATGATTTATGAATTTCTATACTGCTTAACATCTCTAAGTTGTATACAAAAAACGGAAGCGACAACGGACAACTTAAAAGAAATATTACAAAGACATACAGTTACATATAAAAATGTTATATTAATGCAAAGTTACTAATATATGCAAATCAATATTAATTCATTTTCCTTTGGGTACTCCCTCCCTCTCAGCCTGCGGCTTCTTACTCAGGGTCCAAACAAACTCTCAACTCACCCACAAATGTCTCCCAAGAGGAATTCCTGGAAAACAGCAGGCATCACCCTAATATTTCACTGTATAGACTTGCTTTTTATGGGCAGGCCCAAGGTGAATGGTACTTCCTCAGGCTACACACAGCTGTGCCCCATTCAGCTGTACTCTCCACACCCTGACCCAGGTTTGTTGAGTTCTCCAGGGGGTCCAAAGGATGGGGAAAGGGCCACCCTCCACTCACAGCTCTTTCTTCACCCTCTGTCCTCTCCTCCTTCTCCAGCTGCCATCATGTAGGTCACTAATTGCCTGAACACACATACAAGGTATGTCTGTCCCTGGGTGTGCTTTGTTTAAAGTGATAACGGAGAAATGAAACAGCTGCCCAAGAAGCATAAATGTACCCTGTTTGTATTCCAGTTAAATACAAGTTGAGTTTTGTTTGTGATCAGGAAGTCACATTATCCACTTCCCCTGAACTAGATCTGACTCATGGCCTACTCTGCTGTTGTGTCAATGTGGTGTTATGAATAGGCCTTGAGAAAGCAAAACAAATGGATAAAATTAAAATCACTAGCACCTGCTTGCAATGTTTCTCTCCCTCTCTCTTTGCTTTTTTCCTTCTTGTATTCAAAATCTCATGCGTGGAAGAAGCTAAAAACACTTGCAGCCACATGCCTCTGTAAAGCCAGAAAGAGCATGTACAGTAAAAAGTCTGAGGCCCTAGTAGAGGATGATCTTTGCCACACACAATTTATAGGCTGTAATCCTATGCATGCTAATGCTGGAATAAGTCTCATTGAACTCAATAGGACTTACTTTTGAGTACACAAGCTTAGGTTTACTCTGGCTATAACCATATTATTACACTTTTAAAGCATGTTTGTGGCACTTTTCCAACATATCTTAGCAGACTGCAAGTTGGAAAGTGACATGTGGGTCATTCCTAAGGATCCCTTGCAGACACTTTGATGGGTGGCAATCAGCTTCTCAGTTCCTTCTTCTGGCCCTGTAGGGAAAGCACAGTTTTTTCCTGGACTCTGCCAGAGTTTATGTCAGCAGCACTCTGGCAAAGAAGCTTCCAGATATTTGACAAGGATGACAGCATCAGGGTGGAAGCATTAAAAGTGTGCATGCCTGGCACTCTCTTAAAACACAAAGCTTGCTAAGAGCAGAATCAAGCCAGGAGATGAAATGTCAGAAGAAAGAAAGCGTAAAAGAAAGAAGGAATGTGAACAGTGGGGCTTCTCCAGACAACCTTTTTATTCAGCACATAGCCTGATTTATTTGTGAAAAGCTTATCTGGTGGTTTGGCTATATGTGTGTCTTTATTATTATTTTTATAAGTATTAAAAGAATTTATATACCACCTTTCATTTCAAGAAGAAATGCCAAGGCAGTTCACATATAAGTAAAAGCCCATAGCAAAATAAAAAGGCTAAAGTATAAAACCAATTAAAAGATATAGCTAATTTAAAAATACATGGTAATACCTTTTTGAGCATTTACTTTGATCTGTTTACATGATGGTTATGTGCCAATATGCAGCCATTCTGCTATTTCCTTGTGAGTTGTTTACATGTCTTCCTGTTAATCATTTGTTCATTCCTGTCACTTTCCTAACTGAAAAATTCTGCTTTTTTTAAAAAAAAAAGTACTAGGGTGACAGAGGCAGTCTTAGAAATATGCTAATCTGTTGACTACTTTGACCTGGATTCAGTCTCTAATGGAGATGTGCAAAACCCTCCTGAGAAATAACATTTCAACATCCTTCAGACCTTCCAAATTGACCTTGAATTTCACTTTAAGTAAAATGCTCTGGCACCTGCAATTCAAACAGTGATTATTTTGATTACCTTCGAGCCTTTGGCACAGTCCTCTAATCCCCATACCAAGCCTAAGCTCATGCAACTGAAACAACCCTATTTCAGGGACCTGTCTTATACTCTGGCCTGGTTCACACATTACTTTCAACCAGCATTAAGCTTAAAGGTAAAGGTAAAGGGACCCCTGACCATTAGGTCCAGTCGTGACCGACTCTGGGGTTGTGGCGCTCATCTCGCTTTATTGGCTGAGGGAGCCGGTGTACAGCTTCCGGGTCATGTGGCCAGCATGACTAAGCCGCTTCCGGCGAACCAGAGCAGCGCACAGAAACACCGTTTACCTTCCCGCCAGAGCGGTACCTATTTATCTACTTGCACTTTGACGTGCTTTCGAACTGCTAGGTTGGCAGGAGCAGGGAACGAGCAACGGGAGCTCACCCCGTCGCAGGGATTCGAACTGCCAACCTTCTGATCGGCAAGTCCTAGGCTCTGTGGTTTAACCCACAGTGCCACCCACGTCCCTTCGCATTAAGCTTAGCTATGGTTTAAAGGTGAACACACTGGTGCATGGGGCTAAAATCATGGGCACTTTGTTCCTCCCCAGTCCTGCTGCCGCCACACTGCCCAAAGCGGAGGCATGCTTTGGCTTAACATTATGTCTGAACCTGGGCTCCCACAATGTGTAACCAGGTGTAGCGTTAGTGTTTTTAGACAAGGCATGAGATCAAGGCAATGACTGATCTTTAGGAAAGCAGATTCACCCCTGAGAGAAAGATAGGATGATTCTTGGAGGTGGGTTACTGCTTTTGGTATAAACATTGAAGTGAGTATATACATATCTAAGACTCAAATGCTTTTTGAGGGGGGGGGAGAGAGAAGGGTTTGACTCCTGCTTGCTTGTTACACAGCTGGATTTTAAGCAATTCAAACTTGAATTTATCCAACCATGGGCATCTGAACCTAAATCATTGTAAATCTTAAATGTCTTTTACCCCTGCCCCCCACCATCTGAAATACCACGCTTGGTCTTGCAGTGAATGTCATACTGAGAACCAAAGATAAATTGATGGTAGTCCTAACCCCCGTAATCTTGACCTCCTCCCTTTCAAAAATTTAAATTTACAGCTACTAGGCTTACAGCTAGGAATGGACAGATCTTTTAATGTAATTTTCTCTCAGTTTTTCATTTTCCAAGCTTAAGTTTGGTTTGCCCTATTTCTGCATACATTTATGATTAAAAACAAAACAAAAAACCATGTGAAAATTTGTACTCATTGCTCCTAATACAGTGGTACCTCGGGTTAAGAACTTAATTCGTTCTGGAGGTCCATTCTTAACCTGAAACTGTTCTTAACCTGAGGTACCACTTTAGCTAATGGGGCCTCCAGCTGCCGCTGCACCGCCACTACATGATTTCTCTTCTCATCCTGAAGCAAAGTTCTTAACCCGAGGTACTATTTCTGGGTTAGCGGAGTCTGTAACCTGAAGCGTCTGTAACCCGAGGTACCACTGTATACTATTTTTTATATGGAATTTTACCTAGTATATGCATTTTTGCAAGCAATTTCCCCCTAATATAATTCATTTTTTATAGTTTTTACTGATTATGGTAAGAATGAACACGCTTTTCACTATACACATTTTTGTATGCATTCTTTGGTTGGAGAACTGCATTGCAAATGCTGTGGGGAACAGCAGAGAGCTATTTTGATTTTTGTGTTGATACAGGAAATGTGAAACTGGTAAGTTTGCATTAGATTACAAACTGAACAAATTCATCCTTATTTACAACTCAAGACACTTCAGTTCTTTGCATTAGAGTTAAGAGTTGCTATTGAGATAAAGCAGGAGTTGTGTGGCTGGCAGAAATACAACAGGGGAAGGCTAAATGGAATACATGTATAGAGAAAGCTTCAATTGTTGACATTCTGTCTGTCAGACATCTTATTACTTGTGTGTGACCCTATATATTGAACCCTTTACTCCAGCTGCAAAAAGGATACAAATTTGCATGTGGCACAAAGCGAAGGCAAATTTCATTCATATTTCTGTCCCTCTGGAGGAAAGCGTCCAATGTATTGTATGCCAACCCATAAATCCTTTTGGCATCCCTCCTGTGTTTGGATGCTCACAGTTAGCCATGCCCTTGTCATTGCAGTATTTATTTGTATATGTATCCCAAATATTTATATCCCACTCTTTAGTCTGGAAACTTTTGAGCAGT